TTAGTCCTGCTTTAGACTTCATATTAGTCCTGGTTTAGTCCCTGTTTAGTCCTGGTTTAGTCCTGGTTTTAGTCCTGTTTTTTAGTCCTGATTTAGACCTTGTTTTAGTCCTGGTTTTATCCTGGTTTAGTCTTGATTTAGGCACTGTATAGTCCCTGTTAAGTCCCTGGGTTAGTCCTTGTTTAGTTCTGGTTTTGTCCATGTTTAGTCCTGCTTTAGACCTCGTTTTAGTCCTAGTTTAGTCCTGTTTTATAAGTTGTTTTAGTCCCGGTTTAGTCCTGCTTTAGTTCTGTTTTAGTCCTGTTTTATACGTTGTTTTAGTCCTGGTTTAGTCCTGCGTTAGTTCTGTTTTTAGTCCTGTTTTAATCCTGCTTTAGTCCTGGTTTAGTCCTGTTTTAGTCCTGCTTTAGACCTCGTATTAGTCCTGGTTTAGTCCTGTTTTAGTCCTGCTTTAGACCTCGTATTAGTCCTGGTTTAGTCCTTGTTTAGTCCTGTTTTAGATGTTGTACTAGTCCTGTTTTATTCCTGTTTTAGACCTCATATTAGTCCTGGTTTAGTTCTGGTTTTGACCTAGTTTTAGTCCTGGTTTAGTCCTGTTTTAGTCCTGTTTTAGTCCTGCTTTATACCTCGTTTTAGTCCTAGTTTAGTCCTGTTTTATAAGTTGTTTTAGTCCCGGTTTAGTCCTGCTTTAGTTCTGTTTTAGTCCTGTTTTATCTCTGTTTAGTCCTGTTTTAGTTTTTTTAGACCTCGTTTTAGTCCTGTTTTAATCCTGCTTTAGTCCTGGTTTAGTCCTGTTTTAGTCCTGCTTTAGACCTCGTATTAGTCCTGGTTTAGTCCTGTTTTAGTCCTGCTTTAGACCTCGTATTAGTCCTGGTTTAGTCCTTGTTTAGTCCTGTTTTAGATGTTGTATTAGTCCTGTTTTATTCCTGTTTTAGACCTCATGTTAGTCCTGGTTTAGTTCTGGTTTTGACCTAGTTTTAGTCCTGTTTTAGTCCTAGTCCTGTTTTAGTCCTGCTTTAGACCTCGTGTTGGTCCCGGTTTAGTTCTGGGTCTCTTTATTCGCTGCTCTCTTCAGACACTCCCTCAAACATCACTATCAGCGCTCTATAGATTTTATAATCCACTGCACTCGGCTCAAATGGATCTGTCTCTCCTCCTTTTCTCTCCTCTCCCTCTCTCTCTCTCTCTCTTTTCTTTCTCTCTGTATCTCTCTCTCTCTTTCGCTCCTCTTTTACTCGCTCTGTCGCTCGCTCGGCCCGAAATGTGGATAAACACCAAACCGGGGCGGACAATTACTTTATGTGAGATCAATACAGAGCCACAGAGAGAAGCTAACGGGCTAACGGGCTAACGGGCTAAACTCTAAACTCACTAAACTCTAACTTTAACTTACGGATTTTAACTTTGAAATCTGAACTGATAAATAGATCTGCAAAATATAAAACCACACAATCTGAGTCGGTGCAATTAGAAAACACAAAAACAGACTCAAAAATTCCAGACCGCGTTGCCAGATTGGGTTTAGTGATTTCTGCCCAGTCGCGTTTGAAAAGCCGCCATATTCAGCAAAAAAAAAAAAAAAACGTCCAACATTTTGTCACAGAAAACATTTAATCTTTGAATAAACGCATGTAATCCATTGTTGTGCTTTTAAAAAAAAACATTGCCAGTTTTCACAAAACATGTTAAAATGTAGAACAAAAGTTTTATTTACCATAGAAAAAAGGAAATTTCTTTTTTAAATCCAAATTTTGTAGACTATTTAATCTGAAGGCTTTTGAAAAACATTGCCAGTACTGAGAAAACATCCATCCTTTTTCTTTCTCTTATTCGGGGCCGAGTCGTGGGGCTGCAGGGACTCCCAGACTTCCTTCACCCCAGACACTTCCTCCAGCTCCTCCGGGGGGCTGGAAAACATGTTAAATGTAAAAAAGTATTTTCATTTATCACAGAAAAAAAGTCATTTAGCCTAATATTTGAATAAACATGTAGCTTAATCTATAGAGGCTTTGCACCGTCATGTGACCCCTATAGCAGCGGTACCTACGCCGCCATGACACCGGGCAACACTATGTCATTGACTTCAGCAGCATCGGAGAAACATGGGCAGGTTTTGATGTGTATTTGGTTGTTCTCGACGCTCTGAAAGGGATAAAACGAATTGTTTCTTCACTGTTCCTCTGGAAATGACTCATCAGGATCAACAAGGGAATTATCGGAAAAAAGACGCGAATTATGGCTAGAGAACATAAACCGCTAAGAGATTTCCAATGGTACCATCAAGACACCCGAAGTTTCATCAAGGTATTTGCTATTTAAATAGTTTTATAGCTTATTTAATGAAAGAAGAACATTTACTGAACTAAAATTTCATTAATTTATCCAGGAAAACCCGCACTAGTTTACGATTCAACGAACGCTATGATCAACATGACGCACGAGTCGAAGAGTCTGTGAGCCGAACCTCGAAAGAATCGGCCATGAAAAGATCCTCGCGAAC